ACCAAAGAGCATCTGAGTCAGCACCTCCATCAGATCCGCATGGCCACCGAAGACGTGACTGACTCCGTCACCTGCTTCTTGAACTTCGCCTTGGATGTCAGAGGTAACGCACAGCGGCTGACAGACTTCAACCTGCAGACCAGACTTCTGAAGCAGCTCTCCATCGTTGAAGACTCGGGCTTGATCCTTCAGCAGGCTGCAAGGACTCTGCGAGATCTGGGCTGGCTGCTAGATACGCTAGCTCAGGATGACGGCCAGTCACAGACACCTGACCACCTGGAGCGATTTGTTATGGTGGCTCGAACCATACCAGAGGATGTGAAGAGGCTGGTATCCATCCTGAATGCAAATGGAAAGCTTCTTTTCAGAGTCCCGGCTAGGGAACCAGTAGTGGTGGAGAATATAGGCCCGTCTGAAAGGAGAAGTCACAGCAAAAGTGAATCAATGGTAGACTCAGGAATAGATGAAAGTGACTATGTCCAACTTCAGGTAGGCAAATCACACCATAATTCTTTTCATGTTATGACCTATTACTGATAAATGGTTGGTATTAAATGTTCATGAATATAGAAAAAAGTCTGCACACCTGTGCTCCAAAAATACAAACATTTAATAACAGACTATCACATAGGTTTCGATTTAACCCACATGCCTTTATACAACAGGTGATTGATCACGTTATACATTTAAATTCGATATTAAATCTTAATAAATTAGAAAATGAAAAATAACATGCTAACAAAAATTTAAATAGTTTAAATGCTACAAGTGAATTTAAGCATCACAACATTATAATGTACAGTATGAAAAATGGATATTCATTTTGGAGTTTACTAAAGATGACATGTAATAGTATTATTAAATTATTTTTTTGACTTGTGTTAATGACAGCAAAGTTAATCGAAATGTAAAAATAGAAGAAATGAACATGCATGAGAAAATATTATTGTTTTAATCTCTAATGTCTGCAGTGATAAATGATATGGCACTGATATATCTTGAATCCCTGCATGTAAATTTTTATAAGCATTAATTAATATTATCTGTATACTCAACCATTCAAAAGTTTGGGGTTGGTAATAAAAAAAAGCAACCAGAAAAAAAGTTCTTATGCTCACCTAGGTTGCATTTATTTGATCCATTAACAATAATATTGAGAAATGTTGTTACAATTTAAAAGAACTGTTTTATATTTTAATATATTTTAAAATTAGTGCTGTCAAACGATTAATCGCGATTAATCGCATCCAAAAAACAAGTTTTTGTTTACATAATATATGTATATATATAAATACACACACATTCAGTATATATTTTGAAAATATTTACATGCATGTGCATTTATATATTTATATTATTATATTTTATATTATATATAAATATATTTAATATATAAACATATTTGTCTTATATATATATATATATATACATGCATGTGTTTGTATTTATATATACATAATAAATATACACAGTACACACTCATATATTATGTAAACAAAAACTTTTATTTTGGATGCGATTAATCGCGATTAATCATTTGACAGCACTATTTAAAATATTCCTCTGTAATGCAATGCTGAATTCAGTATCACATGATCCGTCAGAAATCATTATAATGTGCTGATTTGCTGCTTAAGAAACATTTCTTATGATTATCATTTGAAAAATTATTTATTATAACATTATAAATGTCTTTACAGTCACATTCGATCGATTTGATGTTTTGTTGCTTAAGAATTAAGTATTAATTTCTTTAAAAAAAAAATTTCATTGACTCCAACCTTTTGACTGGTTGTGTCATGTTGAGTAAATTATACAAGACATGGACAATAATACTGTTTACCTAAAACTTTTAACCAATACTATTGATTTTCAACAGACAAAGACAGAATTCGACCAACAACCAAAGCCAGCAAAAAGCAGTTTTAAATCAAAGAAGAATGGTGATACCTTGAAAAAACAGGTATAAACTTGTGACCCTCCCAGTACAGCTCACCGTATTGCATTAACTCATTGATTTAGACTCTCTAACCATTTTATTACTCATTGTGTCTTCAAAAGGTTTCCAAATCACAGTCCGTTAACCCCTGCAGTCCACTCCAGACCTCCAGGAAGCCTTCCATCTCTGACCACTGCCGGCTGTATTTTGGAGCTATTCAGAAGGCCATCAGTGTGTTTATAAGTAGCCTGAATGATGGACAGCCCCCTGAAAAGTTCATCTCCCACAGCAAGCTGGTCATCATGGTGGGCCAAAGACTCGTGAACACTCTGTGTAGTGAAGCTAAAAATCGAGAGGCCAGCGGGGAAATGTTGTCTATGAGCAATCAGCTGTGTGCCCATCTCAAGCAACTGGCCATGGTGACCAAGAAGGCAGCTTTGAACTTCCCCGACAAACTGGCTCTCCAGGAGGCGCAGGACATTGCCAAAGAGCTGGCTCAAAGGGCACAGCACTTCAGAATGTCACTGGACGTCTGAGCAGCAGTTTGCCATCTGTTTGCCCAGTTTATCGTGTGGAGGTGGTCTGGTGAAGACAAAATGGTATTTGTGAAATATCTCAATTTGTGTGATTTGTATGCGAGTCTAAACAAGCCACCCTTAAAACAAGCTCCTTTTTTTGTTCAACCTGTTAGTCTGGATGAGGAGGCAGCGTTAAAGGTAACAAAGGGACAACTTTTAACTATAACCTCAAATAATGACATGATGTGTTTACATGCACAACAGTACGCTGATGCAAGAATAAAAGCTTTTGTACAAATACCAGTTAAGGTGTTTACATAAAAAATTAAAAAATCTGTTGCAATCAGGTTTGGCTGTCACAGTAAAAAAAATGTATATACCCGATAAAAGAACATTATTTGAAGTGTTTGCATGGACTTACGTCGTTGTTGGGTTATTAAGCAATATCACTGTCATTGTGCATGTAAACACATGAAGACAAAGCAGAAAACGTGCTAGTAGCTGTGCAGATGTTAAAGTGACAGTTCACCCAAAAATGGAAATTCTGTCATAGAATGTTAATTTTTGGATAATCTGCTCTTTTTAAAAACCGTAATGCAGTAACAGTCTTAAACATGACCTGGGGCATCTATTAGTCTTATTCTTTGTGGTGTTCTCATTCTGCCAAACCTCAGACTTTAAATTAAAAATTGCACTTTTATAATGCCCGACACTGTATAATGATTTTTGGTCATAATAAATAGACAAAATGTATGTAGATGACTATATTATGTGTCTGAAAATTCAGTGTTTGAGCAAAATATAAATATTTCCTCAATACAATTAATTTTAATTTTTTGTATAATTTGTCAATGTTCTAGTTTTCAATATGCACACACTGTAAGAATGTAGTATTCTGTTTTTTCACATATGATTATGTCTGTGAAAATATTTCTTCTAGACACAAATAAAATGTTACTTATCAACATTTTTTGACTGTTTATAAGACTGTTTATGTCTTATGTGATAGCCTAGTAGTTAAAGGGATACTTCACAAAATAAAGAAATAAATACATAAAAATTCCAAGTCATCATTCATTCACTCACCATCAAGATTTATTTTTTTTTAAACCTGTATAACTGTCTTTCTTCTGTGGAACACAAAATCACTGTCATTGTGCATGTAAACACATGAAGACAAAGCAGAAAACGTGCTAGTAGCTGTGCAGATGTTAAAGTGACAGTTCACCCAAAAATGGAAATTCTGTCATAGAATGTTAATTTTTGGATAATCTGCTCTTTTTAAAAACCGTAATGCAGTAACAGTCTTAAACATGACCTGGGGCATCTATTAGTCTTATTCTTTGTGGTGTTCTCATTCTGCCAAACCTCAGACTTTAAATTAAAAATTGCACTTTTATAATGCCCGACACTGTATAATGATTTTTGGTCATAATAAATAGACAAAATGTATGTAGATGACTATATTATGTGTCTGAAAATTCAGTGTTTGAGCAAAATATAAATATTTCCTCAATACAATTAATTTTAATTTTTTGTATAATTTGTCAATGTTCTAGTTTTCAATATGCACACACTGTAAGAATGTAGTATTCTGTTTTTTCACATATGATTATGTCTGTGAAAATATTTCTTCTAGACACAAATAAAATGTTACTTATCAACATTTTTTGACTGTTTATAAGACTGTTTATGTCTTATGTGATAGCCTAGTAGTTAAAGGGATAGTTCACAAAATAAATAAATAAATACATAAAAATTCCAAGTCATCATTCATTCACTCACCATCAAGATTTTTTTTTTTTAAAACCTGTATAACTGTCTTTCTTCTGTGGAACACAAAAGAAGATATAAGAACATAAGAATGTTTTGGTTACTACTGATTTCCATTGTATAGATTAAAAAACCCCACAGACATTTCTCAAAATATCTTTTTTAAGTTCCACAGAGGAAAAAAAAAAGGTCAGAGATTTGTAGAGACATCAAGGTGAGAAAATGATGACAGAATTTTCATTTTGGAGAGAACTATCTCTTTGAAGTCCTCTAGCTGTTTTACATTAAAAGGGTTCAAATTACTAGATGTGTTAGATCAAATATTTTATCATGAATGTGCAAAATTGTCTGCTAATGAGAAATGTCTGGCTTCTAATGTCAAATATAAATAACGCACTGGCGCCCTCTATGGACTGAAACTTGGAAACAATTTAGTTTCGCTGTACCCTACCAGACCCTCAACCAACAGATGGACCCCAAGTATTAAAAAAGCTGTAAATTTTAAAATCATTAACTAATAACAATGGATCCTTACTTAGAAAGTTAAAAGAAAGTTAATAGTTATTTAGAAAATACACATGACTAAAATGTCCAGTACTAAAATGGAAGAATATAGAAGTTGCTAATTCTAGTTTTACTACTAACTTTTAAATGGTTTTGAGAAATATATTTTTTTTTAAAACAGTTAGCCATTATGAGACGTTTTATAATAGTGAGAGTATCATAACCATAGACTCACTGTATAAAAACAGATCATAACATGCAACAGTTCTCCCAGCGAACCGCGCCCACTGAACTCCAGACTCCTCCTCCGGTGTGACTGTACGTGCCCTGCGTCTCTGCGCTCCTCTCTTTCCCCTCAACACCAGACACATCCAGACCACAGACATGGCTCCATAAGGGTGCACATGGCGGCTTGCAGCCATGAACCAAAAAAACAATTCACCAAAAACTACAGATGCATCTCCGATTTGACTGATTTTCGATTGATCAACTTCCACATCCGCCGCAATATTCTTCAGTCCGGTTTTCAGCATTCGGGAGAGGCTGCTTGCTTGCAACTCTCTCTCACTCTTGTCTCCATTTCCTCCAGACAATTTTACGTTCTTGCTCAACCCGAAATAACAGTAGATATCATATTGTACAACAACAGTCATGGGTGTGCAGGGTTTCCAGGAATACATAGAGAAGCACTGCCCCAATGCCGTGGTGCCGGTGGAGCTCCAGAAACTCGCCCGCGGGAGTCTGGTCGGCGGCGGCCGGCAGAGACCCCCTCAAACTCCGCTCCGGCTTCTAGTGGACGCCGAGAACTGCCTGCACCGGCTCTACGGCGGCTTCTACACCGACTGGGTGAGCGGGGGCCAGTGGAACCACATGCTCGGATACCTCGCCGCCCTCGCCAAAGCCTGTTTCAACGGCAACATCGAGCTGCTAGTGTGCTTCAATGGCGCCCTGGAGAAAGGCCGTCTCCACGAGTGGGTCAAGCGACAGGTGAACGAGAGGCAGACCGCCCAGCAGATCGTCAGCCACGTCCAGAACAAGGGAACCCCGCCGCCCAAGGTCTGGTTCCTGCCCCCGGTGTGTATGGCCCACTGCATCCGCCTGGCGCTCCTCAGGTTCCACATCGGGGTGAGTACGTTAGCGACAGATGCTCGCTGTGTTTTTGACATGCAGCCATTAGCTTAGCAGAACCAGACCCAGATCAAGTGAAGTGCTCGTCTTACAAGACAGTAGGTTGTCAGCTAGCAGGTGGCCTAGACGGCTTTCTTGTTGTGTAGCTAGACAAACAAAACAGCTTAAGATGGTTTGCTGGTCTTAGTTGGTTGGTTTAAGCTAGTCTCACAGCCTGACCAAGCTGAAAAGTTCCCCAAACCCATCTGAAACAAGTAGTTAGACCAGACTAGCAAATCAAAGCTGTCCGTGAAACTGTTTTCTTCAGATTTGAATCAAGACCTAGCCTGGTTTTCTTGTAGCATTATTCATGTAAACAGACATGTTAAAACCAAGATCAGCAGCTGGCTTAAGCTGGTCTCACAGCCTGGCCAAGCTGAAAAGTTCCCAAAACCAATCTGAAACCAGCCAGTAGACCAAACTTGGCTGTAAGTGAAATTGCATTATTCGTATGTAAATCAGTGTAGGTCTTAAATCATAATACATGTTAAAACCTAGATTAGCAGCTGGTTTGTTTTTCCCTGACTGAGCGACTGAAACTGCCCAATACTTATTTATTTCAGGTTTATTTAACAGGGACAATGCACATCAACAATACATAAATGCACAATGTGCCAGAATTAGCCAGAAGGCTATTTTGCATCTGCAGTCCCTGCAGTACCTCTCTAGAACAACATACAGACCAGCAAATCAGCTCAGACTGGTTTAAGATGCTTTTTTAAAGCAGGGATCCAACTTTTTGGTACATAAATGCTTGGGGTGGGTGTGCAGAGGAAGACAGATCTTGGGCACAAATCTGTACGACATGCTGCTGGTATCTGATCAGATCTCATTTCCACAGGCATTTGGGGAACAGAGATGTCAGCAGTACAGGATGTAACTGCCATGTTAGTATATGAGATGGTGTTTTAGAAATTTGTTTAAAAGGCAAATCCAAAACTGTGCCTGTCTTTTAATGTCAAATATTTTAATGCACCTAACAGTGCATGCAAATCTAAAAATACTTAACATTTTTACACCTTTATTTTACAATGATATTTCAGAAGAATCAATCAAATCAACTGATTAAAAGTAAGCACAAGTGAATAAATACAAAAAGACAACATTTAAAAATCAAGCAATGCAGTATTAAGTAATTATTGTATAATAACAAAAACTATTAAATATGTTTTCTGGATCTTCAACAATAATTAAAGGTGCAATGCCTGTCTACACATTAATAACCTTATACAGTAACAACCAAATACAAACCTCTCAGAATAGAATAAAAACATGCATGTATGTATGACTGCTGAAATGAAGCTATGTAGTAGTAGGTTGTGCTGGCAAAAGGAAGCGCCACCTCTGCTCTGCTGTGATTGGCTGATGTGTCACACTCTTGTGACGCAAGAATAGTAAGCACTGTTCTGTGATTGGCTGCATGCTCCTTGTGTCACTTCTGCTGAGATTTAGCAGCCCTAAGTTTATTGGCCCTGTTTTGAGCAGAGAGATACATGACTTATGAGATTCTTGCCCATGAATGCTTTTATTTGCATTTATTTATTTAGTTAATTTTCAGAGGACTTTTAGCATAAATATTGTATGGATTATTGATATTTATGCAGGCATGGAAAATTATACTACTAGGATTTTTTTCTACTTATCTCCTATACTCATAAACATTGGATCAATTGAGAATCTATGAAATGTGGGGCAGAATATGAATGAAATATGATTTTTAAATGATGATTTAAAAATGAATTTGTTTACGAGTCAAGCTTCGTTTCCTATCAGTTAAAGCCCAGTGAACATCCTCTTGCTCAATGTATAGTTTTAAAAAGAATCATCTCTTCATTGATTCGTTCAAATAGTGCTAATCAATTAAAGCATTTGACAGAGAAACCATTATATGATACAATTAGAAATAACATTTCCCAGACTAATCGTGCCTCACATCCTTTCATGGAAATCTTTGAAAGCCTGCAGTATAATAGTCAATCTCATCAGTGTAAATTTGTTTTTCTAATGAGCCTTCCTGTAATTTGCTTCCTCACTCAGGTTGTCCAGACCATCGAGGATCATCACCAGGAAGTGATTGCCTTATTTAGAGAAAATGGGTTCCATGGCCTGGTTGCCTATGATTCTGATTACGCCCTGTGCAACATCCCGTACTACTTCAGTGCCCATGCTCTCAAACTCAGCCGCAACGGCAAAAGCCTCACCACCAGCCAATACCTGATGCACGAAGTTGCCAAGCAACTTAATCTCAATCCAAATCGTTTTGTCATTTTTGCTTCACTTTTAGGTAGGTTTGTAGGATTGCCTGTCAGTTTTCAAGTCAAAGGGACATCTACACTGGCCCTATTTGCCTAATGCATGTTCTTAGTCATATTGTGAATGATTCAGCTGTTCCTTTTTTTTCTGAAGACAAAATAGTTTGTCTTTATCCTACGCAAAGTTTGGGGTCAATACGTTAAGAAATTAATAGTTTTATTCAGCAAGGTTGTTCTAAGTTGATTGAAAGTGTTATGTACATAGTTACAAAAAGTTGGTTTCCACAAAAATCATGGTTTCCACAAAAATACTAAGCAATGCGATTGTTTTCAACAATAATAATAGGGAATGTTTCTTGAGCAGCAAACTTATTAAAACGATTTCAGAAGGACCATGTGACACTGACAACTGGAGTAATTTCAGCTTTGCTATTGCAGGAGTAAATGACATAAAAATAAAAAAAAACATTTTTTTAAAATGTAATAATATTTCACAATGTTACAGTTTTTACTGTTGAATTATTTATGTATTTATTTTTTGGATCAAATAAATGCAGCCTTTGTGAGAATAAGAGACCTATTTCAAAAACATTAATAAATCTAACTGACCCCAAACTTTGTGCATGTAAGATAAGGCAAGTAAAATGATGTGCAAGCCATTTGTGAATGGATTTTTATTGACTATATTAATTTGTATTTTTTTATTTTAAGGCAATTATAATTAATTCTAATGAAATTCAAACTTTCTTGACTGTCTTTATTTACTAATGCAGTAGAAGAATGGCTCAAATGTTATCAATAGTGTCTCAAATCATTAAATTTCATGGCTGATAAATGTTTTCCAGCTGCAATAATGACGTTTACAAGTTAGTACTTCTGCAATACATGCTTAAATAACTAAATTCTATTTTTATAGGGAATCACATACTGCCTGATGAAGACTTGGCTGCCTTTCACTGGAGTTTACTTGGGCCTGAGCACCCTTTAGCATCCTTGAAGGTAAAGCCACTTATAAAAAAAAAAAAGTCATTTACGTGTTTATATAATACCTAGCACTGAATAGCCAAATAGCTATTTAAGAACCGTTTTGCAAACATGCATTCAGTCTTGCTCCATTCTGGTATTCCAGTTGAATATTCTTTTTTACTTGTGAATGCGTCACACAGTGGAAATAAATGTGTTGTGTATAATAATTCAAATACTTCAAGGTTTTCTACATTGACTAATACATGTTTAAAGGGTGCAAAAATAAAACTTCAGTTCTCATTAGATTCCCACAGTTACAAGCCGTGGTGACCAGTTTCCATTGAAATGAGGTCTGGCACATAACTTATCAGGACCATGCAAAATCACTTCAGCATTGTCCTCAACGTGTACCCTTTTGGTTTTAAATACTTAGTCTTTGAATTTCGGCCAAACAGTTGAGCACTGCGATTAGAAAGGAAAGAGTTGAGCTGAGGAATGGCTTCATGCGTAACCTTCTGTTATCTTCTCTTAGTGTCAGCGTTGCTTGACATATGGCTTTATTGATTCACTGTGAGCAGGAATAGAGTGGGCTATACTCGATTTTAACACCTGACTTACAGTTCTATGCGTGCTTCTTTACTTTTTGTTGCTATCACTCTCAATTCATTTTAGCATATGTCTGTGTTTGTGTCTATAGTTGGCAATTACTTGTATAAAAAGCCTCTAAGTGGCAGTTTATGATATGCATTGTCAATTAAGCAGATAAACCTAATGTGTGTTTTTGTAAATTTGTCGGACTGTACCCAGTCAGATATGTACTCCTATGATGCCCATCACATTTTAAGCAGAAGGAGCTTTTGCTGGGAGTGTGATGGGTTGTTTTCTCTGATGCAGGTCCGTGCCCACCAACTCGTTCTTCCTCCATGTGATGTTGTCATAAGAGCCGTGGCAGACTATGTCCGCAACCTACAAGATGTCCATGACCTGGAAGCTATTGCTAAAGACATATTCAAGCACTCCCAGGTAAGATAACACACTACTGTAGCACATTTAACAGGATACATCACCCCAAAATTGAAAATTCTGTCATCAATTACTCAACCCCATGTAGGACTGCATAATTAATCGGAATAAAAACAAAATCGCGATATGGCTTAGTGTGATTATCAAATTGGAAAGGCTGTGATTTTAATTTCTCTCTCTCTCTCTCTCTCTCTCTCTATATATATATATATATATATAAGGAATGTGCAACAGCGATCGAGTACTCGGCCGTGACAGTGATGATCGATCATGAAAACGATAATCGTGGAAAAAATAAATGTCTGATTGGATAAAGCAGCACTTTGGGCGGCACCCTGAGCTCGTGTGTGAGTGAGTAAGTGAGAGAGTGTGTGTGTGAGTGAGAGAGTGAGTGTGTGTGAAAGTGTGTGTGTGTGTGAGTGAGTGAGTGAGTGAGTGAGTGAGTGAGTGAGTGAGTGAGTGAGTGAGTGAGTGAGTGAGTGAGTGAGTGAGTGTGTGTGAAGGTGTATATATATATATTTATATACACCTTGCTACGTGTACTGCGTTAGGCTAACCGAGACTTGTCATTTGCACTTATATATTGTTGCTCTTTTGTTAGTTTTGACTGTTTTTATTGTCCTCATTTGTAAGTCGCTTTGGATAAAAGCGTCTGCTAAATGACTAAATGTAAATGTAATATCTGATTAATCTAATATAAGATGTGTTGGGATATTAGCATTTATTAACATGGTGAATGCGCTGCATAGTACCAGTTTAGTTTCATGCTCAAATGCAATGCCTGATATTGACTGAGTTATTTGAGACGGTCATATTGCTTTTAGATGTTTCTTTTTAAAAAAGTACTGATGTTATAATAATGCATTTATTAAATGATAAATATATATTTTTGAAAAATGTCTAAAAAATGCCCCCCTCCTC